GACAGACTGTTATTAAATCTAACCAAACGGCACTTCAGTAAGGAATTCAACAAAAAACCTGAAATACAATGAATAAAAGAATGACTATAACTTTTTCCATTGTTTTTTGTGCTTCCACCATTGAAGTGTGTCTCACATATTAAGATATACTATATAAACTGCAGCTCAGAAATATTAGGACACTTGCTCGAGACATTGTCAATCTTTCGACTACTTTAACTTCGCGAGAAGAAGTCACGCAACACTTATTATTAACAAGAAGTTTTCTTTTTGTAACACGCAGAAAATAGGGAATTCATTTACTGTAAAAGCAAACGAGGAACAAGAAATAGAAGAAGGTAAGAGCAAATGTTTTAAAAGATTTCTTCACCAAGGAATAAAGTATTAATAATCATTCTTCTCTATGTCTATAAAAAAATGTATATTTATAGAAACTCAAAACGAAAAGTTTAATGTGTGATAAAAAAAACGGAAACTAAATAACTAAATTATAATAAATATTTGATTTGTTAAATTCCATACAAGTAGCCCAATTTATGTGATGTTTGGATTCGTTTTAATTACAAAATCCCAGCATTGGCGCTATTTCCAATAAAGTATTTGAAAATGACGCTAGGTAAACAGTTTTCTCGTTGCATAAGTATTATTTTTTTGTAGCATTGCTGTGTATTATATGCGTCACATTTCTTTTTCTTTGATCAGGTTTCGGTGAGCTCGAGACGATGAATGGAGAGAGAAGAGTGGCAGATTTTAGTAAAAACTGTGTGAATTTTATACTTTTGAAGCACACTGTATGTAAATCACACGCTCGCTGACCGATTTCGTCGGCGCGGTTCAGATCAGCCGAGTGTATCTTGCCAGGGTTCGTTGCGAAATTTCCACCGTCGATATCGCGTTCTACGCCCTCCGTGTCTGGCCTAAAACTTTGTTTTCTTTCTATCTTGCCCTCTATTTTTGTTGTAACGCGCGCGATCGGGCCTGTCGGGTCGTTGCAGCTTCATAATGCGGTAGATCAGCGTCTGCTGGCCCGCTATCGAGGCTCTCTCAGGCGAAAAGACACTGTACCGAATTACGGGGCACTCGGAACATCGTTGATCTCCGTAGGCAATCCTAACGACGCTTTCGATACGCGTAGAGTAACTTAACTCATTCGCTGAGAACCACCAGTATACTCGTAGTACCTCAAGGGGCCTTTCTACTTTGTGGGATTTAAAAAATCGAATTTTTTTTTGCATTTTCTTTTAGTATGCAGTCTCGAAAATATATCTACCAAATATTAAGTTGAAATTTGAAAAACTAACGAAGTTATAGCTTGCTGAAATGTACCGCGCGCAGTTTTTCTCGAAACTACATTTTTCGGTACTGCGTATGTGATAACAAAAAAACTATTCAAGATATCAACATGAAATTTATATAGTATCTTTAGTCTCCCTATAGCATGGACTAGAATAATTGCGATATATGCAATACTTTTTCTTTTATTAACAAAAAAGCAACCGAATATATGAAAATATTCAGTACTTTTGTAAAAGAGCTGCTATTTTGCCATTTTTTGCCTAGTTCATGCTATAACCACACTCATCTATATTAAGAATATCGTTGGTTTTTGGATTTCGGAGAACTTGTTCGCAAGATATCACATACACAGTCGGGCACCGTTCGTAAAAACTGTTGTTTGTTGATCAACAAAAACAGCGTAATCGATAGATATTATGCGTTGCAAAAATTCGTAAATATAGCTAAATATATAATAAATGTATCTACAAAACCCGAAATTAATCGCTCTTTAATAGCCCGCATAAAAAAATCACAAAGAAACGCATTTTTCGTGCCTACAAGGTAGAATGGCCCCTTAAATATGTTATTACTTAAAGCCTTTTGAATTTGCAAACCCTTTGTGGCCACAGACACAAATATAAAAGTGTTTCCACCACCAACCACGAGCAAACTCGGTTTCGTGTTTGATTTTATGCGTGTAAATATTTATGACAAATTATGTGTACTTCTCAAGAAATAACAGAACTTAGATAAACGATAACTTCATATAATTTAAGCTTGATAGTGAATGGGTTAAAGGCGGGACTGAAACCTGTTATAATATAGATTTACATTCTTGAAACAATTACGAAGAACTTTCATTCTGAATAACTGTTATAAAGAATATAAATTTCAAACTATCTCGGTTTAAGTTCAAATTTTTGCATCAACTTTCATATAAGTTCTATAATCGCTATTTTTTAGGTTTTATACAGGCTTTTGGACAGTTTTGAATGTATATAACATAAATATTTACTGTTCTCAATGGTTATATCACATGTTGATTACCTTTTCAAGATATTTACGACTTATATTTAGACTAAATCGCGTTTCCTTTTGTATCCAAATACATATGTTATAATAATTGCAAGCCTCAATTATTTTATTGTTCCACTTATTCACTCGTGGTATTATCTTTATTAATTTAACTGAATCTATCGAAGGCGCGTCGTTGCTATTAAAGTTATGCTTGATCAACCCTAACTTTTGCTCTACTGACTTCCTCGCTGCCAGGAAATCGTCCCAGGAAACTGACCAGCAATTATTGTATGCCCAATGATACTGGAAAGTATCACGAACAGATTGCATAAATCTATTAAAAGATTACAAAATGTAACGGTGTAATAAAAGTATCAACTATGGCAATAAACATTATCAGCGTTCGATGGGATATTCTGATCTAGAAGGCCAATTTCTAAGCCTTTTTCGAAAATTTTTTACAAAAAAATCAAAAGTCTTCCTCATTTGATTTTCAAAACACACGTTCTTTATTATTTTAATATATTATTTCTTTCAACCGAAAGGAATGAGAATTACGTACATTACGTGTGGTTGAATGTAAATATACAAAAAACAAAATAGCATTTTGATTAGTACGAATATGGGTATCGTGTGAATCACAATAAATAAAAAATCTGTTTAATTAAAAAAATATTGGCATATTGAAATTCGAGTATCGACATTCTCGAACTTCTTTGGTATACATATGTATAGCATATTAATAAAATATAAAAACCTCAATGTTTAACAGTATGTCTAATATTTTCAAGCCATTTGGTTAACTAAAACTTGAAATTTTGTGCAAACCAGTTAAAAAAGTGAGTTTTCGAGAAAAATACGATTAAAGTTTTGCAACCGCACGCTACAGCTACAAACTGTACTTATCAACCAGCTACAACGCTGTTAATTTTACGAATTTAAACAAATCCTGCTGTAGACATGTTCTCAAAAATATATACTTTAAGATTAATTGTATTTGTAAATGCACAATCCCATCTGACACGATGAGAAAAATCACCCCGATCGGTTGTCAATATGTGAATATATTAATATCATTTATATTATTTATTAAACGTTTCAATTTCTTATCTAATAATGTATAACTTAGTTTTGCTTAATTTCACTAGTTTCTTCATTTTTGACACGTGTATCTTCCATGAATCTTTGCATCATACGTAAAATAAGAAAAAACTATCGAGACGAAATACGTAATTTCCCTTCATTCGCGTGGCGACCGATAGCAAGTAAAATACGAATGATGAAATTAGCAACATAATTACGCTGCAGTATTCTCGATAATACGCAGAAACGTTGGTCGCTCTTTTAAATATTTTTCGCGAAAAACCTTAGCCTGCATCATCAAAATGTCATAAAAACTTAAAAATTAAAAATCGACAGGAAGAAAACATTATCAAGGCCAAGTAAACATTTTTATTCTGGTCGCAGGTCGATCGATAACATTTAAAATATTATATTAATGACGAAAGTGTAAATACCGTTTTGTAGTTTCAACGTGCAGACATTTTCTACGATTTTAGCGCCAATTAAAAGAAAAATATAAAAACCGAAAGTAATACACAATATTGAGGATATACAGTAGCAGCCATTTTAGGGGTGAATTTGAGAATTAAAAGAGCTCTTCCTATTTATCTTCAAGGTACTAGCTAAAACTATATTCTTTGTTGATGGAATCAGCTTTTGAGATATTTCTGATGGAAACACAAAACATGTAACATATAAAAATGAAACATATCTAAAATACAAAAGCACGGAAGTGGTAAGATATGGCTAGAAATGCTGTTCTAAAACCTGACTTTTGATTGCAGACATTCCATTGCAATATAGATTAGGAGTCATATAATCAAGGTTTTCCAATTGCAAACGTTGAATAATTTCACATAAATTAAACAAACAGCCGTAATAATTTTGTGGATTTCAGTTTGATCGGCTGAATTTGTCAAGAATAGAATACATTATGACAGCAATTGCGCGGAGCTCATCCCCTTTGAAGACAAGTTTTCAATGACAATGGATTCGAAACTTTTCAGAATGTCTTTCCATAGAAAAGGTACGGTGTGAATTACTTATAAACATGTTATAAAATATTTTATATCTGAGAAAATTAGTATAATAATGCTAAAGTGTCTTGATGTGTGGTCTCATTTTAATAGGGTGATTCTGTTTGATTAATACTTTAATTATAATTTTACACTTTTTAAAGAAGTTAATAATTTCCATACATTATTTTAATACATATAAAAACTGCTATATTTACAACCAAATTGAATTTCACACGTAAATCACAAATTAATACAACCAAGTTTAATAAAAGTACATCCTGCCTATCGATCGTTATTTGCGATCAAAGTTGAAAGAAAATTTTCTTCACAAATGGCGACCAAAACTTCCGTTTACGTTTCATTCGTGAATTTGTTCAGAAATTGGAATCCATAGAACCGAAGTTTAAAAATTTGAATTACAATACGAACGCGATTTGTGGAGTTTGGTAAGACACGCTCTCTTAGAATAAGCAATGAAACGTGCTTCCGGCGATAACACGAAGGGGGTGTAGAAACAACGTCAGATGGGCTTTTAAGTGGGGAGGATGTTCCTCCGCAAGGAATATATACGCGTAACAGACCATGTTAACTTACAGTTCCAAGTAGAACGACACGAAGATAACTTCCTGTGATTTGTACTTCAAAAATTTTAGAAAATTTCGAGCATAAATCGTGATTAGAGAGAATTTCTTTCGGTTCTTTTTCTTCGATCCTTCTTTTCAACCGTAAAAGTTACGCGATATTGTGAGGAGACGCAACTTCCGCAAACATGAAGCCCTGGATTAATATTGTGTCGCTTTTTGCATTGTTTTACGTATCCGCGATCATCTTTGCACATCCTGGCTGCGGAAGGTAACCATCACTTTTCTTCGTCGATTAACACTAAATTTACGGGAAATTTAAAGTTACAGAAATCATAAATACTGTTTCTTAACAATTTACGTTGAATTCGATCGATGTAATGATACGAATACGTATTATAATTTTTTTTGTACAAAAAAGAATTTTTTCACCCCTCTGCGTGGGAATAATGAATCGCGAGTTCTCCCGGTGCACAATCGGTGCCTTTCGATCATAAAGAATTTGTGAAATACAGTGTAGAAAGTTAGGTGAATTACTACAAAATGGTGCATGATGAAAATTAACGTTTTCAAGTTAATTTGTGTTGGTTGAAGACAGCTATATTGGAAAGTTGAAGAGATTACCTCTGTATAGAATTCAGATTTCAGAATTTTTTAAATGGGTTTATTAAGATTTCGTATCATATGAGCTGATGAGTAACAACATGTAATGACAACATTTTAGTGGCAAAAAGACGACTTTTTCACATTTTGAACATCACTATGAGGCAATCTTCATAACACAGTGCAATATTTTGAATCAATTTTAAACGAGGAAAGTTGATACTGACTGGATGTAACTTTTGTGCAATAATTTATTTCTACATTAATTTTCTAAACACCATATCGGACAATTATTTCATAGAAATTTTGAAGAAACCAGCAATAAGAGATACTAATATTAATGTCGCGAAAGAACAAAACTTTTTAATTCGTAACTTGAAAAAATGAAATTACAAATATAATTTTATTTTTTTCACGACAGCCTCACGAATGAGAATCAAATTGGTAAGCATGATGCTTTGCTGAATTTCATGGAAACGGGAGGAAACGACTTTCCTGGTCAGATGAAAGAAGAATTATTAGGAGCGGTTAAAGAGTAAGTAATGATACTTATGACTTTCGTCATAATTTGCAAAATTAGATAACGTTTATGTTGATTAAATAGTAGTCAAGAACCGATTATTTTTTAGCTACACTTTAGATAAACTTTCGTACACATAATGTAATCGTAAAAAACGGTTTCCAACGTGATCGTTACATTTCATGTTCTATTTTTAATAAATAAACTCGCGATCAAAAGGCATCACAAATTTCAACCGCTGAGAGATAAATATTATTTTTAACAAAATTTGTAATGTATATTTAGACGACAGAAACGATTATCGGATCAAAGGCGAGCAGAATTAGAGACTCTGATGGCCCTCTCAAAAATGACTGAGAAATTAGTGAACGTGACGAGGGGCGGCCGACAATTGGACATATCGAAAATGTGAGTGTAAATATACGAACTGATTATTGATCGAAAAAGAAGAAAATGAATGATCCAATATCGACATATCACTGTGAATAATAATAGAAGATTCTAAATATTATGTTCTACCTATATTACAATACTTATGAATTTATTTTATATTTAAATTCTTACGGAATAAGTTACCAAAGTTCATATATTCGATTATTTGTATTTCATTGTCAGTCGTCGTTATATCAATATAAAAACAAAACATAACAATCGTTGTTTTAAACATTTATGTATAAAATTAAATTATTTACAACTTTTTGGTAACGTAATCACTAGTTCGCTATATTTATGTTGCGACTGACATTTCATTTTCGTCAAGAACGTTACAGCTATCTGTTCACGTGTCTTAAATAATGATTGTAATGTTGCCAATATCAATAGAATTAAAGTATATAATACATTATATGTACACTGACAATAAGAAACAATCTGCTTTTGTTAAACGGTTGAGAGAAGTATCAATGAAATAAATGGAAATTGTCGCTGAGTGGGATGGAGTCGAAATTGGATACATTTACCTTACACTTTGAATACCTGTTCTCTAATCTATCGTATATGCTTTCTGTATCAGTGGTCGCAAGAAACGCGCCGTATTCGAGATGAACATGAAAAATCTACGGAAACTCTTCCGACTGTCAGGGCAACTTGGTTACAAGGGAAACGCGGCCTACCCTGTTATTAGGTATGCAACTTACATTATACATCACTTTAATTACCATACGTGTATCTAATAATAAATTTTATGATAGGATTAAAAAACTCGAGAACTTACTAATGTTACAAGTCATTAACACTGGATCTGTTTTGTCAATTTCGATTTGTCCTTAAACACTGCGAGTTCAGACGAATATCGATTCCCTGTTAAATCTATAAAGTGTCTTTTCTGAAAGAAAATACGTCGATCTTTCTCGAGCATTTCGGTAACAGGATAAAATACGCGCTCCGTCTTCTACGACGTATTTAATATCCGATCAACGCAAGTAGATCGCAAATTGCAAATTGCTGAGTCGTTAGATTTGCAATTTGCAAAAAAAAAAAATCTTAACAAGCGAGCTGCGCCACCGAGATCTATACATGTTTCCGACAGATTTCTTTTATGTTTTTTCTCCGTGACCGATAAGATCGCATTCGCGAGAAAAGCTCGAAATTCGCGACGCGAACGCACACGCGTGCATCGAGGAGAAGCGTGGACGTGATGTAAGAAAAGCGTTACATTAATCCAGATAAATCCTTGTCGAACCGCTGGCCGCGACGAACTCGCGCCGTCTTATCTACTGACTGTGTCGCAATTACGTTAATTCGCATCAGAAATAATTCGACGAAGATACGCGGTTGGGCACGCGAAACACTCGAGGCCGACGCGACTTTACGTTTCTGCTTCGAGATTCGTTCTCCCTCCTCCGCGAAAGTATCCCGATCGCTCCAATTACGGTGGAGTAGAATGTCGATTATCTTATTGCAATCTATTACATTGCTATATATTATTTAATATTACTATTCCAACTAATTGGGAGACAAATTCGTTCCGATAATAAAGGAAGATGGTAGAAATTTGCAAATTGTCAATCTGACTGATAACAAAAGTTTTTTACGGAATACGATTCTATCTTCTTCTGATGTTGTATTTTTGGCTGTGAAAAAATATATATTTTTTTTTTATTAATATTAAGTTACATCTGCAACTAGCTTCATTGAGCTAACCAGCAAAGATGAATTGTGCAAAGTGATGTTCCTTCTTTTACTTAATTATGAAAAAATATAATATTGATTTTAATTACTGTTTATTTAGTATTTAGTGAATTTTATTTTATTTTGTATTATTTGTAATAGTCGGTCAGGAACACTCTTGATTAACTTGTTTAGAGTTTCGTTTGAGATACCTGCAAATAATATCATAGTGTCATACTCAATGAGCTACGAACAACGACTGAGTTTGTAAATATTTATGGTTCTATTATACCTGTTTTGTAACATTAAACAGATAATTCGTACAGCCAAATAAAAACAAACAGCTGCTTATATACAACAAGTTGTATTATACAATTAAATATAAACATATCTTATTTGAGTTTATAATTCTTCATAGCACTGTTAGTCTCGTTTTGTGTTTTGTTAAACAACGCGTTTAAAATAATGTTATTCGTTTATGTTTGCAGTTGAAGCTATGGGACAATACAGAAGACATTGGAGTAAATTCTACTTGCCAAAGTTGGTGCACTACAAATCAAAAAGGATGACCCTGGCACAAAAAATGAAAGTAATATCGTTTTGGTGTACCAGTTCGTCGAAACTAACGACGGATCACGAATTAGGTGTTTTAACGAAACTCACTATTGTAAAAAACCATCCCCAACGCATCGTACAACTACAATCACTCTACTTATTTATTAAACACTGAAAATCATTTTGTAAGATGTTTCTCATTATGTATGTACACTCTTTTGTATTTAGCAAATAAATTATACATGCATTTTGTTTATTTATTATGTGATAGTTCTTTCTTGGCGTTTGGAAATGTAATATTTAGAACACTGTTTTTCACACGTCTATGAATTGGTGATGTTGGTGTGTCTAAAATTTTGGAAATCCCCTGAACCGACAAATATTGGTTTTTCCTAGTAAATTATGAATTTTATCCTTGTCAATCTAAGAATGTTGAATAGAACGAATTTATAGGATGACTTAAAAAAAAACAAGGTGAACATATCAATTGAACTACAATTAAAAAACACTTTTTATTATACATACTGAAACAAATTATAGGACATACTGACTTTTTACAATTCATCAAACTTTAAAATTACTACACATTGTATTGTGTACATGGAAATTTTAATAGTATATTATTATATTATTAATTAATATTTATATATTAATAGTATATTATGTAATATCACAGACGAGGTATATGAATAGACCTTTCACCTAATGTAATTTTTCGGCCCGAGTTTCTGGGGTCCCGGGACTCCATTACCATTTTCGTGTCACTCGCAACGTTATCAACAGATTCAGAAATTAACACAAGAGGAAGTGAGACAGAAAATAAAATTACATAAATTTTATTATTTTTGAACGGAATTAAAGCTGTAGGGTCCATCATTGGACATTAATCGATTAATTTCATTGGAATAACCAATCGATTGAGATTATTTAAAGATTTCAGAATTATTAAAATACGTAAGGATCTCATTGATAAATACACCGCAAATCCTCTATTTTTTACTTTAAATTGTAATATATTATTTATTTAAAAACTAACTCGGCAAAAACGTATTTGCGACTCGAAATCAGTGTTATTAGACCTCACACCAGGACGAAGAAGGTATGTGGAACTATAAGAAGAACGCAGCCATTAGCTCATATTATTTGCTATGTAATTAATAATTATATTAATTACATAGTAAATAATATGACCCGGGTCTCACCACGTGGAGGTTGCTGCGAGACCCACCCTAGCCTCGCCCCAACCACCCTTCCTTTGGCGAGAAATTCGAATACCTATCTAAGGGAGAAGCTATCGAAAAGTTAGAAACGAGCTAGAAAAGGAGAGTTCTTAAAAGAACTGCCCAATCAAGAGATGAAGAACCTAACAAAATGTCAATACATGTGAGATGATACACATGTTTTCTAAAAACGAAATTGAAATGTGCAACTGCACGTATGAATCCTGATTACTAAATTATCAATATGTACTTTATTATTAATTGTTCCTTCTTAAATAAATACTTGCATTATGACAGTGCTTAACAAGACACTCGTACAAAACGAAGAAAGGATCCTGAAGATTCAACCAGAAATGTGCAACTGCACGTATGGACCTTGCATATTAGAATACTAATATGTATCTTAATATTAATCATTCCCACATAAATTTACTCACACGTTTCGGTAATATTTAATAAACGGCAGGAGAACGCTTTTTTATCTTATAATCTATATACATTTGTATATTGACATGAAACAAAGAAATATGACAAGATATTTTCTTCTTGGTGTCTTCGTCACTCCCACGATGTTTTCCTGAAACAAAAACTCATATCCAATAAAATATATAACTCATATAAAACAAATAAATATGAAAAAATATTTCTTTTTGGTGTCTTGATTAATCCCACGATGTTTCCCTGAAACATAAATCAGACAATAAATAAAATTGTACAAAGAAACTAACTACATCAAGCTACTTCAAACTACAATAGCGTGGCACATATGGGGATGAAGTTAGACGATTTAAATATCGCAACACTACGGGGCAACAACGCGATAAATCAACAATCGCAACGCTAATTTATAATAGAAAAAATTCCAAACGCGACTTGTAAGAATAAAAGCAATCCGCGAATGGTAATTATTCGCAACACTACCCTGAAAAGCAAACGCGAAAAATAGTAATTCGAAACTCTAATTCGCCATCGCGTTTACTAAAAATTCGCAACGCTATTTTTAAAGCAAACGCCCGGTTCCTAGGTTTGCATAAAGACAATCACGAATCGTATTTATTCGCAGCACTAATATATCAACGCGATAAATATTTGTTCGCAACTCTACGGGCAAACGCGAACAATGTATATTATTCGCAACTCTAACTTTAATCAGGGGCTATTGGTACATGTACATAGGCATGTACTGGCCACAAAATAAACTAACTACTACTAGTACTACAATTGGGGTAGAATTTGGGCATTGAAAATATCGCAACGCTAAATAAAAAATTGCACGATTAATCAAGATCGCAACGCTAATTTATAACGTGAAAATTACAAACGCGGTTGACATCCATTATTATATATATAAAAGAGTAAAAAAGCAACGCGAATCGTGATTATTCGCAACACTACCCTGAAAAGGAAACGCGAAAAACAGTGATTCGCAACTCTACAAGCAAACGCGATTATTGGATATTCGCTACTCTATGTATATCATAACCGCGAGTTATGGGGACGGATGGCTGGCATGTATGGTGCAATCATGTACCATCAGGTACATGCATACGTGAGCGAGTCAGAAAAATAAACTAACTACAATTACAGACGAGTTAAGTGACAAAGTAGTAACAGGAATGACTTTCCATTCTCATCCGAGGATGAAGATGAAAAGCCATTTGTTGCAGCCCACTCTTGAGACAGTTTGTCAGGGCCTCTTCGGCTCATTGTGAGCCTTTTCTTTCTTCGGCGGTCCTGCCGATGCCTGAAACTTACGAAAGACCGGGCTCGAGATTTTGTGCAATACGTAGTCTTCCAACAATATACGAATTGATGCAAGAGCATACCTGGTGAATCTCGAGCGGGACGAACGGTTCGAAAGGGACCTAATCACGACCGCGAGCGCGAGAGAGCGACTTTACGAGTCGCGCGATTCGAGGAGTCGAAAATAAAGCCGAAACAAACAGCACAAGTGCACCGTTTGAATCAGCAAGATTTCTACTCTCGGAATCGTAACTACAGGAACAGAACTGCCACGCGAAAACGCGCCTACCCGATTGACTAATGTGGACAGTCCTGCCCTGACCCTACCTACTTAGGTTTAAACACACACACCAGAGAATAAGTTACCTACCTACCTCACCCTATATTCAAAAAAATGCAAAACTCAGTCTCTCAAACAAACACTCCACGGTTCTCATTCTTAATGTCCGGGTGCGACCTAAAATTCGATTTTCACTTTTGACAAATCTACCCGACGATTTACAGATAAATAGTCTAATACGTGTCTGTAGGTACCCATGGGACGTATTTCAAGCTCTGTTTCAAAAAATAATTGGAATAAAATAACATTTAATTTCATCAAAAATTTCAATTCTTTTAGGAATTTTTTTCTCGACAGTGGGAAGGATTTTGGGGGTATTTTTGCTCCTAATATGATTGTACTTGACCCCCGCAAGCAATAATACTTGTTTCAGAAGAAATTGAAATTTTTTTTTTTTCGTCGAAAATCTCTGGCACCCCCCCTTCCCTTTTTTTCGAAAAATTCGATTTTCACTTTTGACAAATTTACTCGACGATTTACAGATAAATAGTCTAATACGTGTCTGTAGGTACCCATGGGACGTATTTCAAGCTCTGTTTCAAAAAATAATTGGAATAAAATAACATTTAATTTCATCAAAAATTCAACACCTTTTGGAATTTGTTCCTCGACTCTGGGAAGGATTTTGGGGGTATTTTTGCTCCTAATATGATTGTACTTGACCCCCGCAAGCAATAATACTTGTTTCAGAAGAAATTGAAATTTTTTTTTTTTCGTCGAAAATCTCTGGCACCCCCCCTTCCCTTTTTTTCGAAAAATTCGATTTTCACTTTTGACAAATTTACTCGACGATTTGCAGATAAATAGTCTAATACGTGTCTGTAGGTACCCATGGGACGTATTTCAAGCTCTGTTTCAAAAAATAATTGGAATAAAATAACATTTAATTTCATCAAAATTCAACACCTTTTGGAATTTGTTTCTCGACTCTGGGAAGGATTTTGGGGGTATTTTTGCTCCTAATATGATTGTAATTGACCACCGCAAGCAAATATACTTGTTTCAGAAGAAATTGAAATTTTTTTTTTTTCGTCGAAAATCTCTGGCACCCCCCCTTCCCTTTTTTTCGAAAAATTCGATTTTCACTTTTGACAAATTTACTCGACGATTTACAGATAAATAGTCTAATACGTGTCTGTAGGTACCCATGGGACGTATTTCAAGCTCTGTTCCAAAAAATAATTGGAATAAAATAACATTTAATTTCATCAAAAATTCAACACCTTTTGGAATTTGTTCCTCGACTCTGGGAAGGATTTTGGGGGTATTTTGCTCCTAATATGATTGTACTTGACCCCCGCAAGCAATAATACTTGTTTCAGAAGAAATTGAAATTTTTTTTTTTTCGTCGAAAATCTCTGGCACCCCCCCTTCCCTTTTTTTCGAAAAATTCGATTTTCACTTTTGACAAATTTACTCGACGATTTGCAGATAAATAGTCTAATACGTGTCTGTAGGTACCCATGGGACGTATTTCAAGCTCTGTTTCAAAAAATAATTGGAATAAAATAACATTTAATTTCATCAAAAATTCAACACCTTTTGGAATTTTTTTCTCGACAGTGGGAAGGATTTTGGGGGTATTTTTGCTCCTAATATGATTGTACTTGACCCCCGCAAGCAATAATACTTGTTTCAGAAGAAATTGAAATTTTTTTTTTTTCGTCGAAAATCTCTGGCACCCCCCCTTCCCTTTTTTTCGAAAAATTCGATTTTCACTTTTGACAAATTTACTCGACGATTTGCAGATAAATAGTCTAATACGTGTCTGTAGGTACCCATGGGACGTATTTCAAGCTCTGTTTCAAAAAATAATTGGAATAAAATAACATTTAATTTCATC